ACTGAATCGAGTTTTCAATTCTCTATCCAACGATGCCAAAACGAATTCTGTGGCTCGAATGGTTCTTGAGAAACTTCGAATAAAGGCCATTTAGTAATCTCTGGAATGATGTAAAAACGAGCGTTCTTGCCCATTTTGCTTCCGAGCAACATGCAAAACGGGACGGAAAACATGAAATTTTGCAATAATCTTGCACCACCCTTGCACAAAACGACGCTCATTTTTCTAATTTCATAGATAACAGAAGACTGTATTTTTCTACATAACCCCCCCCTGACTTTAAAGCTGGACCCGCCCCTGGTTACAGAAGCGTTTTCCAGGGAACGGGCGCATTACCGGAAGCTGCGCGCCCAATACAAGCGATTCTTGGAGGAGGACCGGAAGCGCCAGGACCGGAACGAGCGCATCATGCGGCACCTGGGGCGCATCGAGACCCGCATTGCCACCCTCTCGGCCAAAACAGAGCGCATCAACCTGCTCAGGCGCCAATATCAGCACCTCCTCGTGCCCAATCAGCTGCCAGCGCCCCGGACGAGCCAACCGGACAGATCCACCGAGGACACCATCCGGATCCTGGACAAGTACCTGCAGGCCATGTCCAGACCGAGCGGCAGCGACATCCTGCGGCTTGCTGAGCCTTTGGAGCCCTCGCCCAATCAGGCTGCTGCTTATGCCGACGGCATCTTAAGCTCCATTTGCTCCAGGCACTACAGCAAAGACCTTCATCTAGTTAGGGGGCCCAACCAAGCTGCGGAGGTTGAAACGCGCTCAGCTCCAGACGCAGTGGAGGAAGTTCCCCATCTAGAGCCCACTCAGGCTCATGTGCAGCTTCCCCATCCAGAGCCTGCGGGAGCCGCTGAGCTTCTTCAAGAAATCACAGTGGTTGGCAGTGGGGAACCCGACCAAAGCGGGCATCAGGAGCAAGCAACGCCAGAGCATGTTCGGCAGTCGGTGGACGACAGTCCAGAGCCCCATCAGGACAGCTGCCAGCAAGGGCTGCTTCAACAGCCCAAAGAGGCCTTGCACCCCACCAACCAAACGCCTGCAGATCGAGAACAGGAACTCTGTCAACCCGATGAGCCGCTGGATGGCAAAACAGAGCCCAACGACCCACAGAAACTAGACGAAGAACAGGAACTCTATCGGCAAAATGAGGAAACGGAGCCAAACGACCCACAGAAACTAGGCGAAAAACCGGAACTCTATCGGCAAACCAACCAGGCAGAGCCAAACGACCAACAGAATGTAGACGAAGAACCGGAACTCTATCGGCAAAATGAGGAAACGGAGCCAAACGACCCACAGAAACTAGACGAAGAACCGGAACTCTATCGGCAAAACAACCAGGCAGAGCCAAACGACCAACAGAAACTAGACGAAGAACCGGAACTCTATCGGCAAAACAACCAGGCAGAGCCAAACGACCAACAGAATGTAGACGAAGAACCGGAACTATATCGGCAAAACAACCAAGCAGAGCCAAACGACCATCACAACGTGGAGGAAGAACAGGAAATCCCCCAGCAGATGATTGGATCAGACGATCAACCTCTGTACGAACCAACAGGACTGTATCAGCAAAACGAGCAGCCGGAGTATGAGGAAACGGCAGGTTACGACCAGTACGGCCAGCTTCTGCTCTACAACCAGCATGGCGAACTGGTGCCGCCCCAGTACGACTCAGCGGGCCAGATTCTGCCCCAGTACGACTCAGAAGGCCTGCCCTTAACATTGTACGACCAGAACGGGCAGCAGTACGACCACAACCGACAGCCGGTTGTCCACTACGATGCCAACGGCCAGCCAGTCTACGAGTACTACACTGGAGAGGAAATTCCGCAGTATGGCCTGGAAGATGGTCGTTCGAACCAGTATTATGCGGAGAAGGACCAGAGTGGAGGGCTGGAGGAGTACGGAGTAAATGAGGGCTATTTTTCGCAGCCTCATGCGGATGGCGCTCACCAAGTCGCTGAAAATCAGCTGCAAAGGGATGAGGATCCTGAGTCTACGGAGGTCGCAGGTGAGTCACACTGTCCTCCTCATCTGGAGCCGCCGGCAGATGCAGAGGCTTTGGAGGAAAGTGAGTCAAACGGCAAGGAACCCGAGCCGGAAACTATTCCAGATGCCTGCAGGCAACCGGATCAAGAAAATGCCGAGCAACATGAACCACAGAGTGAATTGGTCGCTGCACCACCACTGGGGCCGAACAAAGAGCCAGAGATGAGTGTGTTGGACATTTTGGACACGGACAGCGAAAACTCCAAGCGGAATATCAGCAAAGTTTCACACGACTCTGACTTTGACTTCAGCTGAAGAGCTTCTAGAGCAACTGGCAAAGGAATTGTGGCCGACTTTGTAGATTTCTAGGATGTTGGCATAATAATAATAATTATATTTATTCTTTCCTGGGTTTCTGAACATTTTGACTGAAACCCAGGAAAGAAAAATTATAACAACAATTACACGCATTGCGGAAAATACATGAAAATAATAATATGTGGCACCTGTTGAACAGTACTGTGTATTACCTCTCCTCCCTCCAGAACGCCGCAACTGGGCTGCACCAGAATCTCCGTGGAGTCGCCACTGATGCTAAACCGCGCCCTGTACATTAAGGCCGACTTCTTATCCCGACAGGTCGTCTCGAGCTCGCGCTCCAAGGCGCTCAAAGTGACCTCCATTGTGGAGTAGGAGCCCGGCGTCGTGTCCGGAAACTCGACAAACTGGTGGGAGAACTCCAGTAGGGGCCGCTTGAGGTTCACTTTGAGCCACACCTCTCTGCGACTGGTCGTCTCCACGATGAGGAAGTTCTGGAAGTTGAGCACGGTGTCCACGTCGCCCAGACTGCGTTCGCTCTGCTCGCTGGCTGGACCAGCATTTGGAGATTGCATAGACACTCGGTCAGGGTGGGATTTTATGCACAAACACCCCCATCCTTACCCAAAATGGTGGAAACTGCTGGAGAGGAGGGGCGCGATCTCCCATGGCACTCCTTGCTGAGCTTCATGGAGTCGGTGGCGGCGAACTGGGAGTGACGCTTCATGTCGGGCACGATTCCAGTCATGCTTGCTAGCATGTCCAAGTCATTCAGCGCCAGCTGCTTCCCCATGTCCAGCGAAGTGGGCGAGCCTTTCCCACTCCGTCCCTGATCAACCAATCAGCACCATTTCAGTCCCGACCAGGAGCGCGAGAAGACACTCACTCATAGAGTAAAAGCCCGTTTACACGCTCAAGCCATCTGAACGATTTGGCTTGCGCAAGCCAGATCTGTGCAGATGAACCGAACGAAAATCTGGCGTTTACACGTTCAGTTCGTTTTCCACCCAAACGTGCATTGTTGCCAAGATGGAACATTTGGACGAAGAGTTCATTCTTGCAACGGCTGCAGTGTGTGTAATCAAAAAAAAGATGAGCT